GTGTCGGCTGGGTTGGCACTCCGGCGACGTTTCGGACACTCGTCACCCCCGTGTCTCCCGCTCCCATCAGACCTCCTGTCTTCTTCCTCTTCTTCTTCTTTTTCCTGTTGCCCGCAGGGGGGCCACAGGCAGGCCCTTCGATCTTATGACCGGAGGGCCTGCCCGCCTCTGCACAGATGGGGCAGTTCGCCGCCCGCAGGCACCCTTTGGCGCGGTGGCCGGGGCTACCGCAGCGATAGCATAAATCGCTGCGGTCGACGGCGCTGGTGCACCGCTCGCGCACGTGTCCCGGTAGAAGACACCGGAAACACAGCATCGCGCGAGCGGGCAGCGCTGTCACCCCGGCACGGGTCCAACCCACGTGGACACGCTCCACGGCGGCGACTTTCGCGGCCACCGCCAGCGGACACCGCACCACCATGACGCCCGTACCCCGCTGGGTGACACTCATTACCCCTGGGGATACCTCCCCAGGTGAGCATCCCCCAGCGCGAGCAACGGCGGCCGTCACTTCCTCGGCCCCGGTTGTCGCGTCCAGGCCAGCCAGTAGCAGTGTAGCGACCTTTACTGGCCTTTGGACGCGAAAACCGGGGCCCCTTTCCGCCGCCAGCTTGCGGAGCTCGTCCGCAAGCCGGTCGGCGGATGCCCCGACGTTGAGGCCAGGCCTCAACCAACATTGCCCCGCTCAGGGCCCGGCGGACCTTCAGGGATCCACCGATCCCCAGGTCCGCCGGGATGATGCGGCGCCTGGCCTCCAACATAAAGCTGGCATATTCGCCCTCGGGGCAGATTATCGTGACGGCCGCCGGAGCGTGGCGGCTTAAGCCTGCCCCCTCCTGCTACAGCTGGTTCCTTCCCTTTAGGTCTTACCTTGGGGGTAAGGGTCAGAAGTCCAGTTGAGTCCCTCGTTCTTGCCTCTTCTTTCCTCCTCTTTCCCACCTTTCGTCCCACCACCTGGGACCAGGTCTCCTGTGGTTCCTGGTTCCGGGTAACCTGTGGTACCTGGTTCTGGCCAATCGAGTACCACAGTCCCTTCTCCACCGGGTAGCCTCCTGCCAGCAGTATGTCCTTGGCGGACATGCCCTTTCCTCCTTCCAGGGCCCTCTTTCTCTCCTCCTCCTTCATTAGTATGTCCCTGGCCTTTTTCCTCTTTTTATTCGCCTTCTTCCTTTCCTTTTTCCCTTGACCCTTCTCCCTTCGTCCATTGGGTCCCTCCGGGATTATGTTCACCTTCCTATTTGGCGCCTTCTTTACCCTTTCCGGTGCTGAGGAAGAGGTGAACGCTGGGACCCCCACCGACACCGCTGGCCCACCCCCCGGCCAACAGCCTCGAGGCGGCTGACAGCGGCCCTGAGCCGCTCGACCTCCGCCCTGCAGCCACAGCCGGGGAGCCGGGCCTTCAGGTCGGTGTCCAGCTCCTCTTCAGCGCCTTCCATCTTCTCCTTCGGGGGGAACGGATGGATCATATCCTCCAAATTGTCATCTAAGGAGGGGATGTCCTGGTCCTCTTCCACCATCCTGGCGGAGATGGAGGTTGAGGACGAGACAATCCTCCTCTTCCTTTCCCTCTCCTTTCTCTTCATCTTCTTTTTCTTCTTTCCCTCCCTATTCTTTTCCTCCTCCTCACTGGATCCGGCTGAGGATGATCCTCTCAACACTTCTGAATAGGTGGGTTTCCTACCTGATGGACCTGGTGGAGAAGAAGCGGCAGCTGTCGGAGGAGCTATAGAGATCGACGAGGAGACTTGTCTCTTCGTCGATCTCAGCTCCTCCTCCAGCCGCCTATTCTCCACCCTCAACCTCTTTAGCTCCTCCCTGAGCTCCTCCGCCTCTTTTTCGGTCAGGGTAATATCGCCTTCCTTTTCCCTACTGGCCACCCTGGCCATTAAAGTGGCGAGCACGGCCTCGGAGACGCCCACGGCACGATTCAGCGCCCCCACAAAGGTCCCTTTCAAGGTATTGGACCTTCTGGAGACTAGCCGAATCACGCCGAGGGTACGACCTGCCTCCGAGGCCAGCTCGCACACTTTTGCCTCCCTCAGAAGTCCTTTGAATGTCCCGTCCCTAAAGACTTCTTCCATCGGTCTCTTGTCAGCGAGAGACCGGAAGATTCCTCCATCCAAAATGGTCTGGATCTCTTTTTCCAGTCTAGTCCTCTCTGCTTCCTTCCTCTTCTTTTCCTCCACCTCCTTTCTCTCTCTTATCCCCACGCCGAGACCAGTGGTGGGGGGCCTGCCGCGTCCCCTCTTCGTCTGCTCAAGCGCTGGGCCGGCGGTAACGGTACACGAGCCGCTACTGCTGCTTCCTCTGGAGCTTAGCGGTTCTCTGGGCCTTTTCCTTATCCGAGATATGGGGACCCTTGAGCTCCGCGATAGCAGGACATCAGAGACGACCATCGGTTTCCCGGTGGTACCCTCCGACGCCCCTTCAGCTCTCGCAGACCCCAAGGCTCCAGTCTCCCGGGTTCCTTTGTGCTGTCCCCTCTTAGAGCAGAGGGGACCAGGCTTATCTGCCGCCGGTGTTAGGCTCGGACCCATGGACCCAGCCCCGCTAGAGGTCCCTCGTTGGGTGGCCGCTCGCTTGGACCTGACCGGCGAGCTCACCTCGCCACCTCCGCGGTCGGAGGGGCGATCCCCTGAGGGCGGTGGTCTTCCCTCTTTATCTGGCTGCACCCCAGCGGCTAATCCACTGGGGCCAGCCTGCACTTCCTCCCCAGGGGGCGGGGAGGTGGCACCTGCCTGTAGATCTCCTGCCACCTCTAAACCCCCCTTTTCCTCTACATAAAAATCACTCTCGCAAGAGAGTGGTGAGTCCTCGGACGGGTTGGTGCACCCGTCCATACGGGACCTTGAGTCCGAAGACTCGGAGTTTTTTGTTTTTATTTTGGAAATCTTCATTTGAGTTCCACGAGTGCGGCAGGAAGTGGGCGTCGACCCCGGGCAGAGCCCCCGCATTGCCCGGGGTAAGCCTACCATGTCCCCTGGGTTCACCAGGTGCCCAGGGTGAGGAACCACTACGACAGGTCACGCACCTGCCATTCATCCCATAAGCGTGGCATGCCTCAACCGTAGGATTATGTGATATTTTACAGAGGACCCGCCTCGCGGTCCGGCCGATTAAGGCAAGACCCCCGGCCCCAGAGACATGACCTAGGGTTACGGTATAGTAGGCTAGGGTCTGCCGGGGATGCCTGAGCCCCCTGTACCAGGATGCCGAAGCACCCTGGCCCCTCGCAATCGTGTCAGGTTATACGTCCTGACAAGTACGGGTTTGCAGTCAGGGTTTTCCTTCCCCTAGAACGGTTGCCTTCACCCGGCTTACGAGCCCGTTCTGCCCGCGCTGTAGGGTCTTTTGGGTCGCACTGGTATTTGTACCAGTGCGACCCTCCGGTCCCTGTATAAAACTCGGAGGCAGCTGCCCCTCCGAGAGTGTATAAGGACGCTCTTAGTCTGGCCTTTCAGTGCGGATCTCTCCGGCATGGTAGAACCTGCCAGGGGCCGAAGCCCCCGCCGGCACAGCTTCGCACATCATCAAGCCCCCCCACCACATCAAGGTGGCGCCCACGGGGGGGAAAAGTGTGTGGGGGTCCCAACGGGACCCCCCCCCCCCTCAGTGAGGAACCGAGGGGGAAACTGCAGCACCCACCCCCCGAGGGGTGGGTCTTCCCCCCAGGGCTCCCTCCTTCTCCGTACCAAAACCGGAGTCGGGGGTCTCACCCTGGGGGGAGGCTGTCCCTCCTAGCGCGGTCAGGGGTGTTCCCACAAGGGGTCGGCCCACCCCTGACTGCTCCTACCTGGCCCATGGGTCCCGGTGCGGGGGCTTCTAGCACTGCGAGGCCACTACCGCACCGGCAGATCCCATGGGCCTGGGGTGAGGGAGTGGGTGGGGAAAGCTACTCGTGCTCATTACCCCCCACTCCTCCCACCCCGCCTCCGCTAGGAGGGAGACCGAGGCCTCGACCTCCACTTGTGTTTGCGCCTCGGAGACCCCCTCCGGCCTAACTGCCGGAGGAGGGTCCGGCATAGTAGGAGTGGCCGTCGCTCCTCCCACCCCCGGGCCTACCTGGTTCGTGGGCGGCGGAGGCTGGATCTCTTCAGCCTCCGTCGCCCCCATCCCTTCCCTACCGGTCCGGCTCGGGCCGGCGACCGGTTGTCGCACCGTTTTTGCGACTTTGCCAGGGGGCTGCGGCTGGCTGTCAGCCGCAAAACTCGTCGAAAACCTATTCGTAAAGTATTGCACCAAATGCCCATGATTCCTACTCATGTAGACAAAATAGAAGTTAATATGGACAATGTTAACTTAAATATATTATATTCACTTGCAGGATATATAATTCATAAAATCTCTAAGTTACCCACAATTTGTGAAACGTGTATCAAATCAGCTGGATCAACAAAATTTGATACTAATATTCAGTATGCTAAATTAGTATTTTTAAGATGTTTTAGATCTCAAACATTGTTTTTCGTTAACTCTACTACGTTTAAATATTTTTACGATATGGAAGTTATTATACGCCGCTATTTGCCTTATATTAAAAATACCAACTGTAATTTAATAATATTTTTAACTAAAAAAATGTCTCACATTCGACGTGATACGTTAGGAACCTGTTGCAACTTTTTAAATAAAATTATGAAGAGATATATACTATTCCGTATAAAAATTGATTGTAAGAAAGGAGGTCTCAAGGGAAAAATGTTTAGCAGTAAAACTATGGCAATGCATAGTATTGTTAAATAATATATTGTCTTTATAAGTATATTTGCATTTTTATTTTCAATAAAACTATAACAACAAGTTTGTATCCTTCTTTCTTTTCTACCAGTTGAATACCGCGCGCAAAGTATAAATTCGTGACATCCTATTGGTTCCGCCATATTTTGTCCTTGCCAATAGGATGGATAGTAGCTGTGTTCAGACTCTGATTTCTAGGGACTCTAGGCATGGCTAGAGACCCTTTACTAGAGACTGGACATGTGCCCGGAAAATGGCGGCGAGTGGTCTGTTCTTATTAACTGCACCACGGAACAATTGCACAAATTTAGTAATTAAAAAGAACAGACTACAATATTCATGAACTCGTGTGTGCATTTGATCGTGTGCGCTATAATCCGTTGCTACGTGAATTCTACGTCGTGTAAGTATCATGATTGTTTCATTGTAATCACGAAATTTAACATCCTTACAGTTGAAATGAAAACGTAAAAAAGTAATATGTTCGATGTGCGAAAACTATAACGCTATGAAAATATTTACTAACCTTGTACTTTAAAGTTATGAAAACAGTAACAAATATTTATGTTGGAAAACTGTAATATGTATAAATATGAACAATATAATAATATTTAATATTTATTTTCGTAGGTATAAATATGCCAAGCTGCAGTGTGCCTGGGTGCTGTAATCGTACAACAAAAGGAAAAAAGATTCATATGGCTTGCTTTCCAAGTGACCCAAAACGAAAGGTAATATGGATCAATAATATAGGCAAAGTTAATTGGGAAGCAACCAAGCATTCATATATATGTGAAGTAAGTAATCACAATCCTTTCTTCTGTGTTATTAATAAATATCAAAATGCTGATTAGATAAAAAATGTTTATAGTTACATTTTGCGAATGATACATAGGAGAAAACCCGAGTCGACGGAAAACGGAAGTTGAAATGCAACGCTGTGCCCACAATTTTCTCTGTTCCATCGGAAAGAAGTGGCACGTGTATTATTACGAACGTGAGTTCTCTTGCTATGCGTACCTTTGTTAAAATGAATGAACAATGTATGTACTTATAGTTCAGCCAAAAACTATTTATTGAAATAATGGAATTATTTCAGGATAGTACTAATAAATCTGTGGAAAAACAGCCTAATATAATGTTCGAAACATTGGATCATCAAGCATCAATTCATGAAGACGTTACCACGAAACAAAATAACTGTCTCGGATCAGATGTTTCTGATATTACTCCATTGATATCGAGTACGTTTGCAAGTTTGATTATATGTAATTATTCTTTTGAACTACCAAATTCAACTTATTGCAATATATTATTATGTTCCCACACAAGAGAACTTGAAGAAGTCTTTAGGATGTCTTTAAGACACGTCAAGACATGTGTTTAATATATCTTAAAGACATATTAAAAGTCTCTTATGCGCCTATTTTAGACATCATGTTGTATGGGTTACTTATACGATATATACGTTTTTGTAGATCCGTCCATTTCTAGCCATTCAAACAAAACATGCAATGAAGTTGATGACGTTCAATGGCTGAAGAAACTAGAAGAAGTAAACAAAAAACTTGATATTGCCAACAAAATTATCTTGAAAAGTAATTAATGCAACTACCTGTTAAAGAAGCAGGTTAAGAGGTTAACTACAATGCAAAACAATTCAAAGGCTCAAAATGATCACAGTTTGGAATCATCATTGAAGCGATTATTTAATGATGATCAGATTAAAGTTCTCATGAATAAATCCTCACGCGGCTGTGTATGGTCGAACGACACCATAAAAACAGCATTTCGGCTGAAGTTTTCCTGTGGTTCTAATGGTTATCAGGAGTTACGAAAGCAAAATATGCCTTTACCGTGTGAACGTACACTCCGAAGGAAATTAGAACATATTCAATTTGAAGAAGGAATTTGTGACGATATCTTTAAGTTGTTAGAAGACAAGATATCTCAGTTTCAAGATGTTAGAGAAAGAGATTGCATTCTTGTATTAGACGAAATGTCTATTGCACCAGGTAAACACTTCGACTCCTTGACGCGGTCGTATTGCGGAACTGCATCGTTTCGTACGCGTAATGGTATATCTTGAAAAATAGCTTCATTACAATTTGATACTATGATTTGTTGTTACTCTTGTATAATTATAGTCAATTATTGCATAAGTTTAGCCAGTTCTGTCTTCTGGGCGTTATCATTCTTTCCATTTTCTACGGTTTTTCTATAATTTTCTATTTTTCTATAATTTTTCTATCATTTTCCTGTTTTTTCATGCATGTAGGTGAAAGTGTTGAAGCTACGCATGGTTTGATTATTGTGCTTGCTGGAATATTTTCACGTTGGAAACAAAATATTGCTTTATATTTTACACCTGAAAGTTATGATGGAGCATTGCTACACCCTATCGTGTTTGAAATTATTCAAAAAGCTGAATCCATCGGACTTTATGTACATAGCGTTGTAAACGATATGGGACCAAATAATTTAGCGATGTGGCGTACATTCCGTGTTGGTTTTGCCGGACGCCATTCACTAATAACGAACTCAATTATCTATCCTGTAGATAATAATCGGAAGCTTTGGTTTATCGCTGATACTGGCCATCTGTTAAAGAATTTAAAATACTGCTTGCTTAATAACAAAACCATTACCTTGCCTGAGAAATTCATGAATGCTAATAATCTTTCGTCTTCTGTGGTTTATTGTTCGCATTTAGAAGAACTTCAAGAAAATTTACAACTAAAATTAACTTCGAAAATAAAAGTAGATGATTTTTCAAGTAGTACTTTTCAGAAAATGAAAGTCAATAAAGCTAAGAATTTTTTTTCTCGCGATGTTAGTGGCAGTCTAAAATTTATAACGACTCAAGATCCTAAAAAAGAGTATCAGACGACAGCCTTGTTCATTGAAATCATTTCAAAATGGCTTACGGTGATGACTTCACATACTCCAAACCTCGCATTGAGAAAACCTCCACGTGATGAAGTATCTAAAAATAAATTTGAACAAACAATAGCATTTTTAGAATCTATTATAGACATTTTCCAAGAAATGTTAGTTGGAAACGGTACGCAATTTAAACCTGTGCAACGTGGAGTCATTATTACCACCAAGTCAGTCATTGAATTATCGACGTACTTAATTAATGAAAAAGGCTATGAATATGTTTTAGGTGGCCGATTAACGTCAGACTGTGTTGAAAATATTTTCTCTTGCGTTAGAGCTAAACAACCTAGCCCAAATGCATTACAATTTAAACAAAATTTGAAGATTATTGCAATTTCAAAATATTTAAAGCCAGTAGGTAACTCCAGCTATGAAGAGGATGATAGGATTATTGCTGGTGATTTTTTAAGTAAGCCTAAAGCAAAAGAAATTAAAAGAAGCTGCCACTTGCCTCTGACAACTTGTCCACAAAGGTGATAAACTTAGGGAACATTGAAATGAATGTATTATACAACATCGCCGGATATATTCTTTCCCGTATTTCCAAATATAATGTTACATGTCAATCATGTTTAAAGTCCGCTGTATCTCCCACATATAAACCGATCTCAAATTTTGCAACATTTGTACAATTAAAATGTTTTAAACGTAATACGTTATTTTTTGTCAATAGCGGAACATTTTATTACTTTCACCAGATGGAAATTGTCTTTAGGCAATATCTTCCATATTTTATAAATAATTTTGATGCAACAAGTTTGATTTAGTAAATTTTTTTAAGGAAAAACTGCAGTGCATTCAATGTGATGTTTTGAAAAACTGTCACAATATAAAATCTAAAATTATGATGCGTTTTATTAGATTTAGACTTCGACTAGGCAACTACAAACGCAAATTACCAAATAAAATGTATAATAGTAAAACTATGGCAATGCATGCGATAGTACGATAGTATTATCGCATGCATTGCCATAATTTAATTACTTTTCATTAGCCACATAACATTTTGTATTTAAATTAACATTATGTACGATAGTTCTTTAAGTTACATTATTGTTTAACATTACCCTTACGAAAAGAACACTCAACGATACGAAAAAACATTTAAATATTGAGTGTTTACATTCAAATTGAGTGTAAACACTCAATATTTGAGTGTTTTTTCGCTTCGTCGAGTGTTTTTTTCGTAAGGGTATTTCAACAATTGTACCTGAGATTATAATATATAAATAAAAATGATAATAAACATATTTCCTTTCGGTATTATATCATTTGTGATTACTATTAATTCCCTATTATATATAATATTTATTTACTTACGACGCATTTTTTATAAAATACATTCATAAACCATTATTTCGTATAATCATTATGTATACAACATTAATTTAGCAAACCCAGTAATGTATTTTCATAAAATAAATTTGTAAATCATTATTTCGTTTAATTATTATGTATACATAATTCATTTAGCGATATCACTATAAATTCGGAGTGCGAGCGTATATTTTCAATTCAAATTTTATGCCTGTTCACGCTCAGTGAGCAGGGTTCCGTATTGGCTCCGCCATTTTCCGGGCACAGGTTACGTGCACCAATCACGCGGAACCCCCTGATGGCCAATCTCTAGTAAAGGGTCTCTAGACATGGCTAAATGCGGCCCGTGACCTCTCTCCTTCTTCTCTCTGTGAATAGTCTCATTGAAAGAAGAGGATACATTATAAGAATTATTCGTATTGTCTATTTCAATATTAGAAGCTTTCAACATTTTTGTCTCTGAACCCATTTCTATTTTCATTAACTATCACATAAATATTCTTTGGCGTTAAGTTAATATTAAATTCCTTTATTCTATTAGAAATTGTACCAAATATTTCCGCCGATGGTGGATAAGGTTTACCGTTATCTTGCACTGTTCGGAAGTCTGTATGTGTTAAGATTTCTAATAATTTCTCTTTATCGTACATCTTGCAAGTCGATTTCAAGTAGAAGCGTTGACACTGTACAAAAAAAAAAGATAACAGAATAAAACAGAACCGTATTTTATGAATTTTTCAAATATTATTTTAATTTCTCTATATGGTCTTTTTCCTTATACAATATTTTCTTTTTTCCATGTATTTTAATAATTTAACAAATTTTATTCACTTGTCAAAAATCTTAAGTACACAAACTGAGATTCAAATACTTACATCTTTATAATTTTGCACTAATCGAAATCCGTCCTTCCAGATCAATAATTACTGCTATTTTTATTATATTCTTCCAATCCAAAGAAAGTCGCTCTTTCTAGACCTCTTCGCGACGAAGGCACATATGCATCTGACTTCGAAAAATCAAATGACGACGAAACAAATGATTGCGCTCTGAGCATGATGAGTTGCCAAATCCGCGGCATCATCTAACCAAAAGATCTCAGCGATAAAGATGTATCGCGTCGCAGCGTGGGCAAGGAATATGCCGACAAAAGGACACGCGACACGGCACATCCTTTGATTGTCAAAGTCCGCGACGAACGGAGTTGTAAATTAAATACACACACTTGGCGGCAAAGATGACAGTGGACATTATGTCGCATACACGCGTTGTGCAACTCACTGGTATAAGTATGATGACAGCAAAAAAAAAAGAAAATTTGCGAAAAATAAAATTGTAATTACACCCCACCTGTTATATTATGTTAGCGCGGAAACATAGTTTTATATATTTCGAACGTATGAATTAATATTGTTTGTGGAAACGATATTAAAATGTTTATAACCAAAACACATACGAATTACTATATTTCTCATAAATTCTCCTCTCCTCGCTCCATGCAAAAAAAAATAGCAACATTAATCCTACGTATACATACTTACTTTCTGCAAATTTAGTTAAACCTTAGTTTAGCTAACCACATTGGGATCTGGAGGACCCCTGCTACTCTTTTCGTTATAACTCTTTAAAAAAACATCGTATTTTGATTTCTTTTTCTTCCTTCTGATCGTAAATTGTCTGAGAAATACATATATTTGTTTAGAATTAGACTAAAACCATTATAAGTGCCAATAATCACGCGTTGAAAAATTATAATTACTCATATGCGAAAAAAGATCGTTTGTGACTGCTTGACGAGTTACCGGACACCCTGAATAATGCACGCTAATTAAACGTTAAAACCACTTCGAATTCTTTCGTCAGGTTTTGACCGATTAGACAAGTGTGAATTATTAATATATTTTATTATCTAACAATTTCATGCTTTTGTTAAACCGATAACAATATTTCCGCTTATAAAATGGCATGTCTATCAAACTCGAATGTACCAAATTCGTACCGCTCTTATCAAATTTATCGCTTTGGAATCTATCGAAATGTTGGAGCCTCTTTTTCGCGAAGTCGATTGGCTATGCGCTTAGCGGTCAGCTTCGCATCATCGTTCGAGTGACAGTTCGTCCGAACATCAGATTGCGAGGTTAACAAATTTACCAGTTTGGTAGCAGAATTTAATATAACAGATCATGCATAAAATTTGTTGTCTACTTGCCATAAATAGTTGGTAGCAGATGTTCCAAATCTGCTCGTGCAGGTTTAGGTACCTGGGTCGTATGTCATCATCTGTGAGTTCATTTTGAGATACAAAAAAAATTCTTTTTAAGAGTTTCTCTAAAAAGAGCGTTTTTTGCATTTTAAAATGAATGAATTTATG